TATAGAATATTCTCTTTAAGAAAAATGATCAGACCATGTTTCTGTTAGATTCTAAACTTACTAAAAGACTTTTACACATATAACAAGGTTAAACAAACAAACAGGAAGATGTTTACAAGAATTCTCTAGTGCGTTTTAATGTAAAATGTGTTATGTGATCATAGTAGTATGATTTCATCTGATTTTATAAGATTAAAATATTTGAGAGATATTTATATATTTACTTATTTATTTATTCAAAATGATTAATATATATTTAGTGATAGAAGTCATTGCTTCAATCAATATTATAATATCAAATTCTGTTATATTTTCATTCGTGAGACAATAAGAGACGAATTAACAGGTTATGTGAACGGGCTGATGACACACAAGATAGTCTTTTTATTCAAAAGTTTTTTTTTTCTCACAATCTAATTTCGTAATTTACATATTGTCTTAGAAATTTTGATTCAAATATTTTTTTTATTGTTGATACATTAAACTATATATAGATGTGAAAGAAATAAAATAAAGAAATTTTTTCTCGTAAAATTTAATTAAAACAGGAATAATATGTAGGAAGATGTCAGTTGTTGTTTCATCTAGAAAGTCACAAATACTCTAGTGTCTATGAATTATAGTTAGAATAGAAAAATTCTTAAATAAATTTAGTTTTCGAATCAATCAGAACTAATTTTAAGCAAGTTAAATTATTGAGTGTTTATAGTCGAACTTTAATTTTCAGTAAATAATATAAATTATCGTTCTATTCTTCAATTTTTCTTTTGAAGAAATGTTTCTTTTGTTTTTGTTTTGGATTTTGCGACAATTGTCAATTTAGTTTTGCCCAAAGTTACAGTTTACTGTTTGTTTCTTCTGAATAGATAAATCAATCTCATCTACATTATTTTGTCTAATTATTTTCATTGATATCTACTTTTAATAATCATCAGAATCATAAATTCAATCATCCGATTTTATTGTCAAACATTTTATGTGAGAAAAATCTATTTTTATTAAAATATAATATTAGCTCATTTTTGTGAATATGTCATTTGTTCAACTTCTTGCAAATATACTCATTCTTAGGTATTCACCATCGATGAAATTCAGAAAATGTGATATAGTATCATTTAGATCTCCTAATCTTATATAAATATATTTCTTTCGAATAATTGAAAATTTAGATAAAATTTAAACTAATTAGTTTGTATCATAAATATTCTCTCTGTTATTTTATTAAAATCTTAAGAAAATTTTATCTATCTCACCAAAAGAAACAATCTTTACGTTTGAATATTTGGAATAATTAATTATTTCAAAGTTATTCAAAAGAAGAAGAAAACTTTTCAAGGTCACGATCCTTAAAATGATGATGATGTTGAAACATTGAAGAACGCTGATAGAATTGGTTAATAATTATATCAATACAATATAGTTTTTATGCCTAAATGTTTTGATCACTAGTAAATTTATCGATAAAAATCTTGAATAAACTATTCATTTTCTTCTGAAAAGTCACAATTTTTATAAATTTGCTTATAGACTTATATAAAAGATGTGTTCTTTCTTAACTACTGCTTTCTCATGTATTGAGATGAGTTCAGTCTAATGATAAAATTAATTTTATTAGCTGTTGTCTTTTTACGAAGATTAATGGTTTCACAAACAACATATTCCTTTTTATTTTCATATCAAATATGATTGTTGTTGCTTTTTTCAACAAAAACCAATTGCCTTTGGTCAATTCTATATTCAAGTATCAAGCTTGTTTGTGTCTCCGACATAATTCTTCATATTGATCTGATTATCTATAGATGACTGAGTCAAATTGTTTGATCTGACTCTTCTATTTTTTTTTTCATTGATCTTTTAAAGTTCTACAAAAGATTTCTTTTTTATCTATCGCATTCGTATAGTTTTTGGAAATAATAAAAGGCGATTGAAAATTTTCGATTCTAATCAGTAAATGAATGGTAATTTATCGAAATATATGATTTTATAGAAGAAAAGAGAGAGAGAACGCTTTATCTAATAGGAACATACTTTGAAATGCATCAATATACTCCATTGCTTTTCTGTATTTGATCAATGTTGAGTAAATAATTTCATCTTATACTTTTGAGAAAAATTCTTTTTCATAATATTAGTATGTCTTTGACTCCCGCAAAGGTTTTATAGAATACGTATAATTTCAATAGAATAATATTCATTTATCTTATATTCATATATACGTTAATTATCGCTTTATATAAATTAGTTTTATCCATGAAAGAGTCTCGAAGATTTATATATACAAAATAATAAGAACGATAATTTTCTAATAAAGAAATATGCTTTGCTTTAGTGAAAGTCTAGTTTAAATATCTTACTGTTATTGAACAATGAAATTTTGTGATACGTTTAAATAAAATATTTTACATTTCCTTTTCTCTCTCTTTTTAATGTTTCAAAAATATTAATATACGGATAAATATGAAAAAATATAATTATTTACTGTCAGAATACTCAAAAAAAAGAATATATTCCAAGTTGTTTAATTTCGATCAGTTATATGTGGGAAAGAAAATAGAGAACAAGATGATAAAGTGAGGAGGAGTTTAAATAGCGTTTGATGTCAAAATGTAACTGGAAATAAATTGATTATTAACAACAAAAAAAGTATTTTTTGATCAAATATTAATGTTATTGTTTTCATGTAGGAGTCATTTTTGTATACATTCTAGTGTACAACTAGCAAAGAATATTAGTATAATTTAATATCAAACACAAAAGATCTTTTCATCTTATTTAACTTAGAAAACAAAATTTTAAAAATTTTGCTTTATTCATATTCAGAATTTCTTATGATTCTTTCACAAAACCAAGTCTAAGTACAAAGAAATAAAGAAATATTGAGACAGTTTCATTTTATTATAATCATATCTTTTTCTCTGTTTATCAATAGTTCTAAAAGTTGCTTTATAAGAAAAAAAGAAAAAACTTGATAAATCTCTTGTTTTTTTTTGCATTATAATAACTTGTTCTTGATCTAATGATTTATTTTTAAATAGATTTTATTTCATCAAGTTATTAACAATGCTTTTGAAACTAATGTGTTGTTATTAAGCGCATACCCACGCTAGTGACACTTCTCATGCATTAATATTTTTTACTATGCACTTTACATACATAAAAGAGGCTTGCTTCATACTCTTATTGGGTGATTAATTTCTTAGTGTGAACAAGGACCACTGTTGAATTAAAACAGAATTAATTCTGACGAATTCTTGGTCTTTTTGGGGTCTAAAACAGAGTTAAGTTAATTCAATTCTGTAGTACGTTTGACCCCAAAAGACATTATAGAAGTTATTTGATTGATATGTGTGAGTAGATGAGTAAACATAAATCTATCGAGAAAACATTATACTAAAGACATAGATTGATTACCAACCAATCTAAACTAATTCGTTCAGTTGATTTCCATGAGAAATAATAAAGAGTGCTTTCAATCGATAAAAGAAGTTTTGGCATCAAATTTGTGAATAACATAGATAAACCGGTTTTTTTAAATTAAATTTGAAAATAAATGTGGAAACCTCAGACTTAAGTCCGAGAGTTATGTGTACTTCAAAAAGTGAATGAGACAAATCAGTCATTCTAGAATGCATGGATATACAAATTAGCTTGGCAAACCTTTTCTATAAACAATTGAATTTTATTGACTACTGCTCAACCAATAGGATTTGTGGTCGAATACAGCTCAGATTTGAACTCTTCGCCTTAATTTACCCACAGAAATTCGTTCTTTCTATAACTTGATTTCTATTGGTCAGTGCTCAACCAATAGGGCATCGAAACAAGTGGAGTACAAATTCGAGTTCTTCACCCCAGAAAACCTTCAAGAATCACCTCTTATTGGAAGATAGTGCTCGAATTGTCGATCAGTTAGAGCGTGGACAAGAACAGAACCGATTTCCGTTTATTTATCTTTGCAATAGGTGAGCTAGCCTTCTTGTTTCTTTATGTTTTATATACCACTTTGTAGCTCGTAAAATTCTCTATCGAATGGTATATAATAGCTGGGGTTTTGCTTGAGTATGCTAGGAAAAGTTTTTTACGAAAGCGGGGATGGGTCGATTTTCGCATAGGAAGCCATAGGAAAAAATGAGTATTTCTGCAATAACTCAGGAGTGGTTCAGTCAATTCTTCTCATCTTCGAACTGGACCGAGACATTATTAAGACTGAACTATGTAGAAAATTTCATCGCGATTGGACTCTCCTTTCAAAAGTTATCGTGTTAACGGACGGACGGCCTGACGGACACACTGACCGATTCTCGAGTGTACTCACTTTTTGAGTACACAAAAAGCTAGAAAAAAATTATTCTTTTTAATATCATAATATATTTATTTATTTCTATCTATCATTTAGATTATGTCTATTGTGAAAAATCTAGTCTTTTTTTTAATCTTATTAGTCAAACAGAGTATAACAAATGATGAGTTTGATCATTTACCAAAGCCTCCAGTAAATTATCATCATTTTGTTGAACAAGCTGGTAAAACTTATAAAATTATGGATTCGTGCAGTGAAGTGAAACTCACTGAACCTATGTCTCGTTGTGTTATACAAATAGGTCATAAATATATGCTTAAATATATGTCTATTAGGTTTGCTCAAGAATCAACTGGCAGTGGAGTTATTATATTTAAATCGGTCGAAAATTATATATCTTCTATTATTATTTTAACAACATTTCATATAGTTGTACCTCAATTGGATTTAAGTTTCTTCACGTTTGCTATTATTACTTTTTTAATGACATTAATCATTCTAATAGGATCGCTTATCTTTTATTCTTCGATTATTTCTCAACAACTATTCCGAGTGTTTTGTGGTTTAATTATATATATGATAATTTGCACATGCTTTATGTATTATATTATATTAATGATTTATCCATTTCTATTTCAATCGTTATTTCGAATTCGTTTAGTATCTGGAGGAAAAAATGATTTCAATATGGGATCATATTCAATGGATTGTCAGTTAATATCATCAAGATTAATATTGTCAAAAGATTGGTGGGATGATATAGGTTAGGAGAATTATTATTTGCATTTTTTTTGCTCAGTCTTGATAAGTTTAATTCAATAGCGTAAAAATCTATATATTGATAAACGAATGAATAACTTCCTATGAAAACTCATCATATTTCAATCGAACTCTGAGAATATTTTCTATTTTTTCTTTTAAACGAGAGAAATGAATCTATTTGAAATAACTAAAGAGTAATAATATTTAAATATTTATGTCTAACAATTTACTCATTGAAAAGAGAACAAAAGTTTAGAAAGATTTTCTTTTAATAGGTGAAAAAAAAAACCGGGTAAAATTTAATATAAAATAGTTTTTCTCATTAAAAACATAAACAAAAGAATAAATAATTGTTCATTTAAATTAACTTGAAAAATTTCGATCCTTAATTTTAAATATAATCAATTGGCATCAGAAATATACTGATGATTTTTTTCTTCAATATCAATAGTTGAATCTGAAAACAAAAAAATTAGATACACGTAAGAAAAAGTCATAGTCGTTAATTTAAAAAAAGAATACATTTCGATAAAATACAATCTAAACATAAGAACATGTTTTTAAATAAACTATTGATTTTATCCTAAAAACAATTTTTATAACATTTATCTATAAACAATTTGTTAATCGAGATATAGAAGTTTATTGGTGTACTTGTTTTAATATTCTATTGAAACTAATTTTTAAATAAGAAAATATCTATGCAGATAAAGACAACTTTTTCTTGGGTATCAACAATGAAAAAAAGGAATTGTAGACGTGTAAGAAAACTATAAATAAATTTAAAAAAAAATAAATAAATCTTATTTTTACTCTGAACGATATAGATCTTCTTGAGTCTCAATTTTTAAATAATAATATATAAGTAGGATATTATTATATGTTAACAAGTTCATAGATTAAACCTAATAATAAAAAAAAAACCATCTATTCAATACGATTTTTTTTCCTACTTTGATTTGATCCGTAAAAGAAATAATTACCAAAAGGTAAATCTCTTTTCGAATGAATTAGCCAAGATTTCTAAAAATAATTGAGCACAATTTTTCAGTAAATAGATTATTAGTTATTCTATTTTATAGTCAAAAGCAAAAATCATTTTTATTTATTTCAAAAGAAAAAGAAGCGAAATAAGTTCATTGAAGATTGAAATGATTTGTTTGTTTTTTCGTTGAAATTTGATTATGATTGAACATGTTTCGATAATTCTGATATTTATTACATGTATAGAGTAAACAACTCAAAAAAAAGAAAATTTATTTTTAAAATTTCGATTTCTCTTATCAATTATCGACAACACTTTTCAAATTTAATCTATACAAACATGTTTTTTTTTTTATTATCAAACTAATAATAATAATAATGTTAAATTCAAAAAACTAATATATATTTAAAAAACAAAAAAAAATTCTATAAAATAATTAGTCATAGTTAAGAGTAATTCAAAATAAAAATACTTTTAGTAAATTCATATGAATCAATAATAAAAACTAAATAAACATGTTAATTGTAGAGTTGTTTAAAATCGATAGATTTTTGTTTCTCTTTCGAAATGCTGTTTCAATTTAATATTTAACTTCTAGAAATTTCTTATTTAATTATTTTTTATTAAAGTTTTTCAATAATTCTAATATGTAAAGCTTCACTTTCAATTTCTATTATAAATAATATTGAAAATTTCAGAAATAAATTCTTTTTTTTTTCTATTTAGCCATTATAAAATGTTCAAATATTGAAATAAATATGTTCAATTACATTGAAGTATGTCAAGTAGCATTAAACAATAGTCAATCAATATCATCTGGTTCATCTATAAGTGTAATTGGATTTGTTGGTAGACCACCCGTCTCATTTGATCTTATAATAGATCCATTTTTTTCCTCATCATCACCTTTAATAAGTATTCCTGCAATTCATGGTAAAACACCAGAAAATTTTCTTTTAAATAATAAATTCATGAATTGTACTGGACAATTACGATTAATTGATAGTCGAAAGTTGTTTATAGATACTCCATCAACTTATGGTTTCAGTGGTGGTCCTTGCTTTTTATCATCAAATAGAAATCAATGGGAATTTATTGGTATATTAACAGGAGCATCGAAATTATGGAACACATGTACATCATTACAACATTCAACTATCTTCAATTATTATTATAATGAAATACTTCTAAATAAAGTCGAAGAAAATGTATATAAAAATGATTTGTAAAATGATATTATCATTTTTATTTCTCCATTATTAAATTGACCTTCATTTAAAATAATAATCGAATAAATATATATTTTTATTAAGTTTTGTTCGTTTGTTCTAATTTGTTAATTATATAAATGATAAATAGAATATCACAAGATATATGGTATGCGACTTGTATTAATTTTTATATTGAATATTCTAATATATAGAATTTATTCCAAATATTTTTTAATTTAACCATTGAGATAAACGATGAAAAGAATTTATCCATCCAATTATTGGAAACGTCTATTACTTATGATATAACAATAATAAAAACTCCTATTCAAGTTTGATCATTAAATTCAAATATGAAATTACTTAGATAAATTTGATATATCCTTGACAAAAAAATCTTCGAAAAG